AGGCAGGGGGGTTCAGGAGCCCACTTGCAGCCCATCAAAAATTGATTTAATTGCAATTTTTCCTCCAATTAGGAGCACTGGAGCCTGACTAATTGGAGTAATAGAGAGTAATAAGGCTCAGATAAAAAGCCTTCCTCGGCTGCCTTTGTATCTCCTGTCAGTGCCTGTCAGAGGTCAGAGAGCTTGTATATTCTATTAGGCAGCCCGGCCTTCATTTGTACAAATTAGTTTACCCAACAGTAATTAAAATGCCAATGCGGGTTGAAGAGAACTGAATACACTTGATGGGCATGTTGGTGAATGATGTGACAGCTTTGGTGGCCTCCCTTGCCAAAGTGTGTCAGCCCAGGATCAGAGGCCAGCTGGGCGACTACAGGCCAGCCACGGGGCAGCAGCTGCCGAGCACGCCACCGCTACTGCCACGCCTCAGAGGCCGCAGTCCCTTCTCCTTCTTCCAGGAGGAACTGCTCATTCCATCATTCAGTGAGCATGAGAGTGTTTAGTGTGCACCAGACATGATTCCATTGACTATCTGTGGGCAGATGAATGAGAAGAATGCTTAGCATGTAGCCTGGGTGAGAAGTGTTGGGGTAGTAATAGCTTGACCGCTAGAATCCAGAAGAGCAACTGGGCTCAAATTCCAGACCTACCAGTGGCTCCCTGTGTAACCTAGAGCAAGTCACCTGACTTCTCTGCACTTCAGCTTCCTCATCGGTAAAATGGGGAGAGTGAGAGATTTGGGGCTGTGAGAGTGGGATAGACAGAGGTTTTGAAACGCTTGCCTGGGCAGCATGAATTTACTATCCTTTTCCCCTGCCCAGGCCCTACTCATTTTCCTCCTTAGCTTCCTCTTGTCTTTTCTAAGTCTCTTTATTTTCCATTCTTCCACCCGAATGTAAAACTCCTTATTCTCTGGTGGTCTTTCTCCCACACGAGGACTCTGGAATCTACCTCGTGGACCTGATGCTGGTCTCTGTGCTGCCAGGTGTAGCTGAGCTAAGGCTAGGAGACCCATAAGATGAGTTGGAGATCTGGGCAAGGTTTGGGACAGGATGAGACATTGTAGCAGGCTGGCTTCTGGTAAGGGGTTTCTAAGTCCAAAAAAAAAAGGAATTTAGGGAGTCAGAATGAGTTTGAGATCTTCAAGCTGAGCGAGCGAGTGAACTTGCGTGCAAGGGTTGGTGTGTGTGTATGTGTGCCCATGTGTGCATGTGCATGGGAAGGGAGTCTGGGGCTGGACATTATGTTGTAGACACTGTTGGTGCTTCTCATCTGGATGTAGTGTTTGTTTTTTTTGTTTTTTTGATGTAGTGTTTTGTTTATGAGGGAATTGTCACCATCCTAATGATGTTGGGCCGTGTCATGTGTCATCCAGGTCTGAATCTGCGTTGATTTGGGAGGAGCAGAGGGACCTCCTTCTTAGTCAACAAGACTACCTTCCTAAGCCTTGTTGACTTTGAACTCTGGCCCTAGAGACCCTGCCACTGAGCCCATGGGAACTCACGGCGACCCTGTAGGAGAGAAGACCTGCCTCTAGTGTCACTCAGGCTCTTCACCGAACAGGGCAGACTACCACTTCTTTCTCCTGCAGGTTGGAACCACTGACTTTTGGTTCATAGTGGAGCACTGGCCACTGTGCTGCCACAGCTTCTCTGCCCTTCGGCAGGCCTTTCAACTCAGCGTCACAGATTTGTACTGACTGTCTCTTCGGGGCCAGGCACTATAGCAGGGTTCACAGAGGGACCAGACATTTCACGATGTCACAGGGGAGACAGGAAGATAAACCTCAAATACCATTGGCCCTACAAGGGAAAGAGCAGAGTATGGTAGACCCCCTCGGAGGCCACCAGCTCGTGCCTTGCTGCGTGTCCAGTGTTCGTTAGCCCTGTGTCTGAGATACTCCTGAGGGACAGATGGGGCTGAGGGCAAAAGCCATTTGAATGTTCTTTTTTTCCTGAGAGGAGCTGGGTTTTGGGTTGTTGTTGTTTTTCAGTAACTTTAAACCCTAAACTGTGGTTACAGCAAAGATCTCTTAATGAGGAAGATTTTTGAGCAGTCCTTAGGAGGAGCTGGCAGAGGAATGGAAACTCATTCCATTCAGCACATCTCCAGGTGTTTATGGAAAACCTTTGGCATGCATAGCATGGGACCAAGCAGTGAGGCATGTGGAGGGCATTTGGCTGAACTATCAGGTTGATATGCATGAGGCAGAAGACTGGAGGAAGGCTTATGTTCAGACTACGGTACACTGCCTGGGGAAGCTTAAAGCAGGGAGGGTAGCAAGACAGCCTCTGGGGCAGAAATCCCACCCTGCAGGCTGTTTTCAAAGGACTTTATCTGGAGAGGCTTGAAGGCTGTAGGCAACAGTCCTAAGTGGAATTACAGCATTTTGATAAATTTGTGGGAACCTGACTGCACTTTACTTTGCTTTTGTTTTCTGTACAGTGGGGTGCTCACCTCTCTTGAGTGGCCTCCTTGGATGATAGGCATCCCTTGGGTGTTCAGAGAAGTAGATTCCTTCTCTTCCTCTGCTCCTTTTCTCTGGAAAGACTGCACCTGGACGAATCTTTTTAATCTTTACTAGAGTGCGAAGGGTCTGAGCTGCTGTCTTCTGCTTCCTAAAGGCCATGAGGGGCCTTTTTTTGGGGGCGGGGGGAGGGGGCATGCATGGCCAGTCGGATTGTGTCTGCAGTGAACCTGACCCTTGAAAGTCCTAGGCCACCCTGTAGCCTTTGTATATATCCTGATTGAGTTCCAGCTCGACCAGGCTCAAAATCTGCCTCACTGGTGCTCAGATGGTTTGAGTGTTAAATTTGATTAAAGGAACCCCTGGTGGCTCAGTGGTTAAGCATTGGCTGCTTACCAAAATATTGGCAGTTCAAACCCATTGGGAGAAACCTGATGATCTGGTCCTGAACTGTTACAGCCATGGGGCAGTTCTGCGTTATCATACAGGCTGCTGTGAGTTAGAATCGACTAGATAGCACATGACTGACTACAACCGATTTGATTAAGACCTTACAGCCTCCTAAGGGCCGTACACACTTGGCTTTCTCTTCTGTCCCAGTGCCAGGCCATGGAAAGGGGCGTTTTTTTTTTTAAATGAAATGTCTGATGCCATGTCCAGGGTTTAAAAGTGGATGGGGCCGGAATAGAGGGGGACAGAAGTCCTGGGAAGATGGTTGCAGCTGCCCGCTTCTCCCGGCCTGCACCTAGCCTGCTGGGAGGTTGGAACCCGGAGAGGGGTGGGGGGGAGGGAATGGTGTGGGGGGACAGAGGAGCGGGGAGTGGCAGAGATGAATGTTCCAGGTCCCTTCCACTCCTTCTCTATTGACTTACTTTGATGCTAATTTAGGCCTGTGGCCAGTCAGGGCCCTGCTCAAGAAATGTCTGGGTGTCTGTGTTGGCGCCCCTCACCCACCCCCACCCCTCAAAAGTCTAGAGAGCCCAATTGCCTGCTCAAATGATTTCCAAGTGGCTATTATGTTTCCAACCCACGGTAATTGCCTTTACCAGTTATTAATGGATTACCCTAAGGAGAAAAATGTTGGGGGGAGGGAGGTGAGGGCAACACCTCTTGGCTTTGTAGTTTGGGGCTGCAGTGTCCAGTAGCTGCTTCCAGGTGGGGAGGCATGCAGGGCCTGCAGGCATGGCAGAGCTGACACTGCCACACTACAGTTTAGTGGCAGCTGGCAGTCTGATGGGTCATTTTGGCTTGAGGCGTGGAAGCCCAGAGTCATAGGCATGGCCTTATTATTAGCCTGGGGCTGAGAAGCTGACACCTGTCCTGCACTTTTGATTGTAAACCAATGGCTTGGCCACTGCCTGCACTAGCGTCCCCCCAGCACAGCCCAAGTCGACAGGCCTCTTGGCGGAAACCCGCCCCCACCTCCAACCTCCAGTGGGGTCAGCGGGCCACAGGTGCTGGGCCAGGGCAGGTGGGCTGCCGCCTCTACATGGCTAACATGTCATTAGTGTGTCCAGCCCCTTATTCCTCCCACCTGCCCCACCCCCATCCCGACATGCAAGGACATGACCCATGCCTGCCGCAGAGCTCCTGAGTGACACCACAGCTTTCAACTCTTGCTGCTGTTTAGGTTTTCAAGCCCAAGGTTCTGGGCGCCTTCCTCTTCCCCCTCCCTCTCCCTCCACAAAGGAGTGTTCCAGCTGTTCAAATGCCCAGTCCCAGCACCATGGCCAACTTGATTCCATGTGCTGATCCTTCCCTCTGGCTTGTGCCTCACATGAAAATGACATGGTGCAGACTGTATGTGTGATCTCTTGGGGGCTTTAAGAGGCACCCTAGAAAATATGAGCAGAGTGCCCATGGCCCACCGTCTCGTGGTGGCACCTGTCATTGCCTTCTAAGCTGCCTGCCTCTCACTCTCCTCCCAGCACCCGGCCTGCCTGGCCCATATCCCCACTCTCCCCCATCCATGGGGTCTACTCACTGCTCGTATTTCTCCTTTTCCCAGTTTGAAGCCTTTATACCTGCCACTGTCCCCATTGCCAGCTTCTCAGCTCTTAAACCTTCAGTAACGTCCCCAACCACCCTCACCTCCAACCAGGACACCTCCTTCCAGCCCCAACTCCCTGTCCCTGGAGATCTCTTCTGTGCCTTGGGCATGGTGGTCTCAGGGTTCATACAACCAAGCTGGCAGACTTGTTCACTGGGGCAGGTAAGGATGGTGATGCTCAGAGTTGCCTATCTATGGATCTGGCTATTATGGTGAGTAGAGACCACACTAGTCAGTCTGGGCAGCTACACCTGGTGGTTCGGAACCTGTAGGTTCTCCGACAAGGCAGCTCTGGGAGGTCCAGCCCTCACCATGTTCCCAGCTGTCATCCCACAACTCCTCTGCTGGCCCTCTGGGCTGCTGCTCTCATCTAGCTTAACCCCACAATCCCTGGAAAATGAGGAGGGCACCTCCAATTGTGTAACTACTTCCGTCACAAGTTCGGACAAGTCAGCTCTGACTTGCTCTCCTTTTGTTTTGCAGCTCTTTTGTGACAGGGACAGCTTGTTGTGGGCACTTTTCACCCCTAAGAATCTGGGACCTCAACAGGTAAGAGATTCCTGAGCCCACGATGGCTTCCAGTGGGGGTGGGGCCAGAGCAGCCCATTGGCTGGCTGAGTGTCCTGGAGAATGCGGAAAGGACCCGCCTTGAGGCCCTCAGGCAGCCTTAGCTGTGGCACTGCACAGGGCAGCATTCGAGGCAACCTGAGGGGAGACCGCTGACCTCTTTGATACTAGATAAATAGTTGCATGTAGATTTGATTATAATAGCATTTTTGATTTATGATACACTCTCTCTGAGGAGCGCCTGACTATATGGTTATGTAAAACTTCACTGAGTCTCATGGATGATGGCTTTAAAAAAAAAATCAATTTTTAAGATGTAAAAAAAATAATTTTAGAAAACAGTTTAAATACACATTTCCACCTGATTATATTTATTCATGTATTTTTCAACTTTTCATCTTCGAATAATTAGTCACAGGCTGTTATAAAAATAGGATGGAGAAGCACCCACGGAACATCTTACACGCTTCTGCTTTTTTTGTTGGGTGCCCTCGAGTCAATTTCAGTTCATAGCAATTCCTTGTGATGGAGTAGAACTACCCCCTGGGGCTTCTTGCCTGTAATCTTTGGATTACAGAAATGACTGCCAGATCTTTCTCCCTCAGAGCCAGTGGGTGGGTTCAAACTGCCAGCCTTTCTGTTAGCCTAGTGCTTAACACCATCATGCAAATTTACTTTCTGTTCGACATTCAACCACCGTCCCACCACCTTTGATCAGGATTCTTCTATGGAATCTTTGATCAAAATATTCAGGAAAGGTAGCCAAGCACCATCCAGTTCTTCTGGTCTCCTGACAAACAGGCTTTTAAGTTCCTGAAGGCAATTAACCACCCTCCATATCCTCCCTCCTGTTCCTGATTCTCCTTCCTCAGTTGTTCCAGGGGAAGAGACCACTTGTGCCTAGGTAGCCACTTGCCAGCTTTTAAGACCTCAGGCACCTTGGATTTGCTATTAGGTCAGTTAATTGGGATGTTCAAGAAGCCATGACTTTAAACCTCCAAACTAAGGCCCTAGAGTCCAGGCTGATGGTGATACATAAGCAGCTACCCTTTTTTGTCATTATAAATATATCCCCCCCCACCCCCTGTTTTTGTCAATTCAACTTTTTATAGGTGACAGCAGTTGTACTTGATGGCAATGACAATAACCCAGTGTGCAACCCACCCCGTAGTGTTCCACCATTAACCTCTTGACCCCCACCTGTCCCACTCCTGGTGACCACTAGGAAACCTTGTTCTCTCTTTATTTACCTTTGCTTGTCTTTCGATATGAGATGATACAGTAGTTGTCCTTTTGTGGCTGGCTTATTTCACTCGGCATAGTCTTCAAACTTCATTCTCCATAGTGAGCCTGGGCTACTTGGTGTTGGTTCCCCTTTGAGTCTCAGCTTTCAAGTCTTTGGATTCAATACCTACGAGTGGCTCTTGCTTTTTTTATTGCTGAATAAGTCAGTGGATGGATCACAGTTTGGATTACCCCACTGAAGGGCATTTGGAGTGTTTTTAATTTCTTTACTATTGCAAATAAAGCCACACAACACACTTGTGCACAGGTTTTATACATATGTTTTCATGACTCTGAGATACATACTCAAGAGTACAACTTCTGGGTCCTTGATAAATGTTTAATAATAAATTTTTTTAAATTGCCAAACTATTTTCTTGAGTACCTTCACCATTTCACATCCCTACCAGCAGTGTGTGAGCCAGTTTCTCCGCGTCCTCACCAGCATTTTGTGCTGTGTGTGACATCTCAATGTGATTTTAATTCATATTTCCTTAGTGGCTAAGAATGTTGAGTATCTTTTTGTGTGCTTATATCTGTTCATGTCATTTACCCATAATCTAACTGATTTGCTATTCCACTGTTGAGCTGAAAGTTAGTTCAGTATTCATTCTAGATATGTCTTTTGTCAGATAAATGGTTTGCAATTACTTTCTCTCCATCTGTAGCTTGTCTTTTTACCTTCCTACCAGAGTCCTCTGCAAAGCAAAAGCTTTGGATGACATCCAAACAATCACCTTCCTCTTTTCCCGTGACCCTGCTTTGGGCACCCAGTCAACACTCTTCCCCCAGCCTGGGTGTAGCCTTCTGTCTTTTAAATGCCTTGACACACAGTGGCGGGGGGATGTGCTTTTTCCCTCCTGCCTCCTCCTACTCCACTTGCCTAGCTTTGTCTTCTCCTTTTCTTTTGTGTGTGTGTGTGTGTGTGTATAAGAAAGTTTTATGTCAAAAGGTAAGAAGGCAGCCCAGTTCAATTCAAGTCCAGAAGTCTTTCTTCAGACTCCTGTAGTAGAGGATGATGGAGAAAGGTGATGTGGAATGGAGGACACTGGTGGCTCTCCGTGTCGGCATCAGAATCCCAGCAAGTGGGAAGATGAAGAGGCAGAGAGAGAGAGGCTCCAGTCTGTCCATGTCTCTGCACACACACCCCTTTCCCTACCTTTATAAGAAGGCCATACACCCAAGGAAGCATCATCAGGCTGTGTGTGGCCTGACTGACAGGTTGGACTCCACCCCTACACTTTCGTGAATCTTGACGTTGACATAAAATCATCTACCCATCACATCTATTACCTTCAAACTTAAGCTTATTGGTTCTGTTTTAAATTAATATAGCTTTTGCAGGGGTCTTCTCCTTTTCTCGCCATCTCCCTAGGAAAAAAATGTTAACCATATCCTTTTTCTAAGAGCATTCCCAAAGATGTAGAACATTAGGAGATGTTTTAAACATAGGATTTTGTTTTGCTACAAAATTCTCTTCTGATGGTCAGAACCACAAGGAGAGGGAATTGCTGCTTCCCTAAACAACTCTTTACCTTTGGGCGGGTCTGAGCATTAGCGTGCCGGCTCTTTGTGAACGGCTCCTGAAGCTGTGTTCCTGGACAAGCAGCAGCTCTGCTCGGAAGGACAGACCTGTACGTGTCTGAGAACGGCGGCCCTGCTCCTCCAGGCTTTTCTCAGTTCCAAGCCAAAAGACATCGGTCCTTCCTTTGTTCCTCACAGACATAGTAGATGAGTTAGGGTGCCAGTAATGAAGACCTAATTAATTCCAAAGTGGCTCAAGGAACAACAGTCTTACTGTCTTAAATGGCAAGGAGTTTAGAAGTCGAGAGGGGTGGGGGGTGGCTCCAGCGTTGATGGGCAGCGCCCTGGATCACGAAGGTCCTATCTTCCCCTGGGTTTCTGGTGTGCCATGTCGTGCTCAGGCTTGCTTACAGCACCTCCACCAACTTACAAGGCAACCCGCCTGGGTCTTTTGTAAATGGGAAGCCTTTCTCTGGAGCCTTCTCCTCGCCTTCACTGAGCTAAAATGAAATTCCTTCCTTGCTCACTCTAAACTAAACCCTGTGAAGAGCGTGTGGTGGCCAGTCAAGATCGACTTGCTGCACCTGGGGAAGAGCCGAGCTGTCCCACGAACCTGGGGGCAGACTCTGCATGGTCCTTTAAGAAAGAAGGTGAGAAATGGCTGACTGGTGCTCACCATGTTGATCTTAGGACTCTTCTCATCTGAAAGTGTCTCTAAATGGATCTCGTTTTAATCCCGCTGGAAATGAGGTATTCAATGAGCACTGAACAGACAAGGCGTGAGCTGATGAGTGAAAGGTGTTACCATCTCATTGTAGAGCAGCGGTTCTCAACTTTCCTCATGCCTCAACCCTTTCATACAGTGCCTCATGTGGTGGTGACCCCCCAACCATAAAATTATTTTCGTTGCTACTTCATCACTGTCATTTTGCTACTGTTATGAATCGGGCAACCCCTGTGAAAGGGTCATTTGATCCCCAAAGGGGTCACCACCCAGGTTGAGAACTGCTGTTCTAGATAGTCTACTTAATGTAGCCGGTGATCAAGTCACATGGCTGCAAGCAGAGCTGAAACTCTGTGGGGTTCCCTTGTTCTGGAGCTGTGGATGAGTGTTAGAATTCCTGCCATTGGCTAAGTGTTCCTGGGAGCCCACCCTGCCAAGCCTCCTGCAGGTGAGACTCAGGGTCTGTGAAGAGTCGGTGGGGGAGCACAGACTGTGTGCTCAGACAGACCTGGGCTCCAGAATGGGCTCTGCTGCTGATTAACCACCCCCGGTGGGCTACAAGGTATACCTCTTAATGGGAGCAGAAAGCCGCCTCTTTCTCCCACTGCACCTCCTGGCATCTAGTGTGGGACTCACTCCACCACCCTGGAAAAAAAAGCCAAACTCACTATGATCAAGTAGAGTTTGACTCATAGCGACCCTCTATAGGACAGGATAGAACTGCCCCTATGAGTGTCCGAGACTGTGATTCTCTATAGGAGGAGAAGCCTCAACTTTCTCCTGCTGAGCAGTTGGTGGTTTTGCACCGCTGACATTTCGGTTAGCAGCCCAATACGTAAGCACTACGACTATGAGAAAAGACAATGAGCGCTAGTGTTTGGGAAAAGCATTCTGCATTTTCCCATCACAGCAGAGCACTTGGCTAATGCACGTGGTTACCTCCTCCACACCCACTGTCTTCTTACACACAAGTCCCCTGGAGTTTGTGCAGGCTCAGCCTTTTCCATCCTTAAAAAAGAAGTGGTTGGGGAGGTGGGCCTGCTGACCTCGTGGTACTGAAAAGGCTCTTGACAGTAAGGCTGGGGGTCAGAGATGGACCCATCTGCTGAGAAGCCCCTGTGGCCTGGCACCGGCCCAGGCTGTCAGACAGGCAAAGGTGAGGGCTGACCCACAATGGCCCAGCCAGGTACGGTGCAAAAGTGGAGTGACTGGCCCTGGCTTCCAGGAGTGAGGACACGCCTTGGCACAGATGGCGCTCCCAGCCACCCACTCTTTGAATGATACTTCCTCTGACAGTCCCCAGACCTTACTCCAAACACTGGGTGTGCACTTCGCCTAGAAATCATTCATGTGAGCGTGGGGTCTGGCCACCTAAGGGATCTATCTGCTGTCCCGGCGCCCCTGCCCATTCTTCTCTGCAGACTGTCCAGCTCACCTTTCAGAGGAGCCA